GTTAAATGTGTTTTTGTCTCAAATTTTTATGTACCAAGTATACAAAAATGCATATCAGAAGAAAGGGGCTTTAATCGGTTTTACAACGATACCAATTTTTTAAAAAACTGCTAGTAATTTTTTTGTGTAAAGCATTTTTTTTTGTTATAAAAAAAGGTATTTAAAACTTTATTAAAATGAGTAGATAAAGCAATGTTATGTAATTTTTACAATAACTCAATTCTTTAAAAAGTCACTGATTATACATATTTATTTATACATACATACAGTTTGGATCAAATTCAAAATGACACTGTTGGCCGCTTATGTTTATTTATTTTCAAGATTTTTCAATTAAAATAGAGTTTATTCCCTAATACATACCATATAAACTTAGGCTTGAAATTTTGTAGAATACAGAAAATTTATCAAATTTTCAGAAAAATTTCAAACTTTTATCTCAGAAGTGTTTATTCCCCATTAAATTTTAGTGTAATTAAGTTTCAAGTGGCTAAAAACTACCGTGGATTTTTTAGAATTTTCTTGCCGAAGGAGCTGCGGTTTCCTCCACATAAAAATAAATTGTGTTAATTCGTTATATGGAAGCAAACGCGACAAAAAAAAATCTAACCAATCAGCGTTAATATTTAGCCACTTGAAACTTGTTACACTGACGGTGGCAATTATCGATTGTGTACTAAATTTCAAAATTTATGTAAATATTTTAAGAAATTTTTAAAGAGCACTTAAAAGGGGAAAATTATAAATAAAATGTTAAATGGGGTACGAAAAATTTTAGGTACTTAGGCGGGTTGGATAAATAAGCGGGGAGGTACTTAAGAAAGGGATTTTCTTCAGATTACATTAAAAAATTCACGGTGCTCAAAAATGTTGGTTACATAAACGGGTTAGGTACTTAAGCGGGTTAAGTAATACGAAACCAGGTATAACAGTAGTTCTATAGTTAGTGTATATAATTATGATTAATGCATTAATTGGAGGTAAATCCTATGACTTGGTGTATGGAAAAAATCGTTCAAATTTTGTTTGAGTTGCTCGTACTTTAGATCTGATATTATATCGCATACCGACACGGGGAAGGTACTCAATTCTTTCCGATGGCTTTAACACAAATTAGTACTTTGATAATAACAATGAATGAAAATGATAATTAGGGATGCAAACGATGCATCGATATTTTTGAAACATCGATAATATCGGTTCAAAGTTCGATGTTTGCCATCGATGTTTACAATTTCCTAAAATCGCTAAATTGACGATACATCGATGCCAGTTTCAGCGACGTTTTAACATCGACTTTAGTGTGATTCAGACTTGAATTCAACTTTCGATATTAAAAATGCGTACATAATCATTAAAAAAGGACCGGGTTCCCGTTGAAATTAACGAAATTGGGGCTTGGAACTTTAGGCTCAGCGAATTTACAAGGAAGGCAAAGGAATGGTAAATAAATACAGGGAAATACATCCATATGTAAGTATTTTTCTAATTGAATTACAGAGAGTATGAATTAAAAAGTATTAAATTTTCCTTTCAATGTGACTAGAACCTAACAAATTTGGAAACATCGGAAACCATCGATACATCGATGTTTTTCTGGCGATGTATTTTAGCATTGATGTTCATTTGTCCGATGCATCGAAGCATCGATGTATCGATGTTACTCAGCTGTTTTGCAGGGTATGTATCCTCAAAAAATATTTATTTACCATAATATTTGTTTTGACGCCCGTGCTGTGTCAACATCCCGCCACGCGCGTCACGCAACAACTAAATACATATTAGATATAAGCCTATACATAGATATTAGAAAGCTAACTGCAGGCTTTCTTTAACTTTAAATGTTGTTTCTATACAACAAGCGTATATGTTTTTTAAGCTCGTAATTTTATTTTCGCCAACTTATGATGAGTCTTGATCAACAATATTAACTAGGTCATACAAGCGTTATCATCCCGCGTTGTTAAACAAACAAACAAAAATTAACGATGTTATAATTTATTTGCATGCCTATTTTGCTATAGTTGTATTTTTTTAAGCGAGTTAAGGTATTCGGGCTGTTTAAAGCTATGAAATTATGAAATATTGTCCCCATAATTTGTGCGTAAAATGGTGCCAGTGATACGCCATGTGAGCGTGTAATCTTCTGCAATTCTCTTCAAAACTGTTTGTGAAACGAAGCTCTCTTAAACTTTTATTTCGTTTGACACATATATTGAAATATTTCATTTAACTTTTTAGATTAACTCAACTGTTGCTGTTAATGCCGAAATTGTATTTTTCAGTCCTGGCCATAAACTTTTTATATGGGTGCAAAATTGCATGCAAATCCATTTAGTCGTTTTTGCGTGATTACGGATGGCACAAAAAAATAAAATAATCATCTGATTAATCACAAGCCCTCGTCTTGGCCTGGAGGCTATATCGGAGCCACAGCCGCTAAACTTAAATGTAGAATACGGGACATTGTTAAAATCACATTCGAGTTAAAAACGGTACATGAAATATTCCGAGGGGGCCAATTGACTTCACCAAGATGGCTGATAACACAATTACCGAACTTTATCACTCAAAATAAAAATCGAATAGATGGCATCCCTAACAAAAAATATTTTCAAACTAAAGTTTTATTAAAACTCTTTCTTCTGCCACTCATATTTTAATATTTCATTAAAAGCTAAATAAATTAGGGGTTTAAACAGATGGCAACCCTCTGCGTAGTATTTTCAAAATTCAAAATAAGCAAATATTTACCGTTGTTTCTACGATAGAAACCGAACTGGTTACTTACAAAGATGAATCTGTCGAAAGGCTTGTAATTTTATCTTTCAAACTTTCTCTTCATTAGTTCTCGTGCAATGAGCGTTTTCGTGAAGGTCTTAAAATTACAACTACAACATTTGAGCATAGCCTCCATATCGACCGCTGAGTGGAAGATCGACCTATCTAGGAAGCCAGTTCGAAAACGCCCTGTCTCAAGAACCTTTTCACTATTTTAGAATTTGGTTGACGACCGCCCTATTTCAGAATTCGTTTCAAAAACGCTCTATCTCAGCACATTTTCATTACATTTTGAAATTCTTCAACCAAATTTTGAGATAGAGTGTTTTTCGATAAAATTCTGATATGGGGCGTTCTTGAAAAGTTTTTTGATATCGAAACGTAAGACCTATTCTACGTCAAAAAAAATATGAATTGCAATTATTTTGAGAAATAGTCGATTGTTCGAATCTTTCAAGGCACTTTTTTACAGTGAGTATTCTCAAAAACACTTATCCATAAAAAATTTCGAATTCTTAAAAAAATGTAAAACGAGTATTTGTAACGGGGATAATTATTTACAGTGAAACCCACTTAAGTACAATTTTACTTATAATTTTCCCCTTTTAAGTGCTATTTCAAAATTCCTTGAAGTATTTACGTATTTTCATATTCGGTAAAAAAATTCTAAAAAATCAACGGTAACTTTTAGCCACTTGAAACTTGCACATTATTGCACTAAAATTGAATGAACTGTATACTCAAAAAACACTTCTGAGAAAAAAGTTTGAAACTATGATGATTTTTTTTAAGTGTTCTAAAAAATTTTTAGCTAAGGTTTATATGGTATTTTTTAGGGAATGAACTGCATTTGATTGAAAAACCTTAAAAATTAATAAATAAATATAAGTGGCAAAAAATTGAATTCTAGTAGAATAAAGTACAAGCTTCAAATGGCTAAAAACAGAGGGTGTTTTTTTAGAAATTAAAAAAAAAAAATTTAAGGCTTGGGGGGTTGGGGGGGTTAACTAAAAAACTACTGTTATACTTGCTTTTGTAGTAATTGCGTTGAATCTGTACGATCCACAAGCACTTATATTTCCCTCTCTGAATTTTGAGTTAGCTCACTTTAGATCTAGGTGTGCGATATGATTTTCCGCAATAGGATTTTTTTTTTCTTATAGTTTGCACCGGAGTAATGACTCGCCACGTTTATCGGTTCTTCCCGTATTAGTAATAGTAAGTGTTGGTATTTGCTTTCGAACAACGGCGATTTCCTGCCATTGAAAGTCATTTCGCGGGCGTTAAATTTATAGGAGGTACATCCTCCAGTGCGGTTGAGCACATTTTCCTAGAATATTTTCATGTTTGAAAAGCGACTTAATCCTTCTTTAATAAAAAAAAGCTTTGAGCAAACAGGAATCTTAAGATTGAAAAAACTTATTTTATTTTATTTACAATGTTGATTAAAAAATATCTGATACTATTTATTAGGTAATTAGACTAAGTTCGCAGTTTACAATAGTTATCGTATTTCCTAACATAGAAAATACGGATTGAGTTAATGATTCCTATGGGAACATATCTAAATACAAATTAAAATATTTTAAATAAGTCACAATAGTTACACAAGTTACTCTAATTATTTTATATTATGAAGGCACTAAAAAGGTTTTCTATACATCACGCTGATTTACCACCCTGCAGAAAAAAATTATCAATTGTTTAAAATAACCGACTTTTAGTTAGCTTTTTTTGCGGGAGTTCGATAAATAACTAACTTTTAATTAGCTATTACAAAACAAACCTGTTGTTGCAGGAGTCTTGCAGACCCAAGCGGAAGTTTGTTTTCTTTACAAGTTTCTATTTAAAGACCGTCATACAAAAAAGTACCTTGGATACTGTTTTTCTGCACTTCACAAATTCTTTTTCGAATTCAGAACAAATAAAATGAAGATCGAAATTTTATATCATCATTTTGATGTTAGGTCTGACGGAAATCCAATAATATGTAAACAAATCGTCACCTAAGAGTGAAAAGGTTCCAAGTCCATTTTTAGAAATTGTTCAGAAGCGACCAAAAATCGATGTAGTTTCGTATTACCTGCGATTCTGCATCAGAAACTAAATTAAAAAAAAAAATGGACTTGGCACCTTTTCACCTTAAGGTAGCAAAATATGCAATGTTGAAAATAAATTAAATAAATAAAATTGAAAAAAAATTAATAAAATATTTAAAAAAAAAAATTTTATTGATATTTTATGTCCAAAAGTAGTTACATAGTTACAAGTTAGTGGAAAGGTAATGCGGGGGTATTCAGGTCTCAATTTCACTCCCTGCAGGGTATATTTAAAAGAATATAAATATATTAAACTGCGAAAAAAAAACGAAAAAGTCCGTTGGCCGAATACTTGAACCCCGGACCTCCCCAATGGCACGCTGGTACTTTGCTAGCTCGGCCACTGTGGCACCGCGAGAAAAATGACATACATAGATGTACAGCTGACTATCCCTGAATTGAATTGAACGAAAAAATTCGATCAGAAAAACAGCCAAAAAATTATCCGTTTTAACAAAATTTTCGGTACTTTTCTGTACATACAAAAGTTTCTGCCGCATACTTTAGTAGAAAAACGAATCGTCTAAGTATCTTAAAATGTAATAGGAAAACGGTCCATTTTCGGATTTTTTCCTGGCTGACCCAAACCGTCTCAAGTCAAAAAAATTGTCACTAATAATAATCTCGAATTTGGTGACTTCAGATGAGGCTGACTTACTGAATATTAGAATTGACCTAATTTTTGTTGCTGCATAAATAATTAACCGACTTCAAAAAAAGGAATATTTTTTTTTAAGTATGTTACCGCATAACTTTGGACCACGTCAACCGATTTCGAAAATTCTCTTCGCATCGGAAAGGTAGTATCTCAGAGGCGGTCCCTTACTAAACTGGTTTAGATGCGATCATTGGATCATGAAAAAATTACCGGTACTCCTAAATTTTTATATGAGATTTGAAGTCAGTTTTGTTTTTTGCTTAAAAATTACTTGTTTTCAATTTTAGAATTATGACCAAACTGCTTAAGACAACAATAGATGTGATTCTGGATTACAATAAAAAAGTACACCTCACGGAGTTGCCAAAAAAAAAACAACCATGTTAACAGTTTTTGATGTGGTTTTCGGTTCGGTATTGGTAAGTAAAAACGAAACTCTAAAAAAAAGCGGCGTTTTAGATAAAAATCGTTTTTGTAGCCCTAGATATTACGTTTTTTTTTTACCACGTAAGGTGTTTTTAATCACTTTTACTTTAATGGTTTTCTTTACTTTATAAAATTTTCAAGTTTTCTTAATACTAAATTACTTATTTCCTTTGTAGATTTCTTCTTCCATTCACCAAATGCGACACTTTTTTTGGTCAGGATTCATGCCTGTGCCCCGCTTGCACTTAAAAGTCTGCGCAAACTCTTCCGAATTAGATAGCACACCCTTCAGCCGTATTTTACCCGGACAGTGTGAATCTTCGAGCGCATAACGTGATGCCGCCGGTGTATATGTTTCACACCACAAATTACCGAAGGAAATAAAGAAAAGCTGCTCATTTGAATATTTCTCCAATCCTGGTAATTTTGTCGATTCAGCCCCCATTTCCTTTACGTACTTGCGATAAGCGTGAAAAGCCTCCCTCATGCCCCCATTATCGGCAATATTTTCGCCCAGTGTTAATTCGCCATCGATCTACACAAAAGAAGTTGTATTAAAATATTTCCATTTATTGCAAACAACTTCATTGAATATATGTGTTTGTATGTATGTATGTATGTGCAATGAATATTTAACTTACATATTCCCCAATGTCGGGCAGATAATAATGGCTGTATTGATCTACGAAACATTCCGTACGGTTTATGTATTCCTTGATTGTCTCATTTGACCACCACTGCACCATGTTGCCATTCTTGTCGAACATTCGGCCACTGTCATCGAAACCATGTGTTAGCTCGTGTCCCAATATGGTGCCGACGGAGCCATAGTTCAACGCTCTGATATTATTTATTTTTTTTTAGGAAGATTTAAATTTATTAATATTGTTTTGGTAAATACAATTTTTGATTTTGTGCTTGAAATGGTGCTAGGTGCATATATGTAAGTATGTTGCTACGTAGATATTTGCTCGTTAGTATACAGCCAAGCTTACAGAGATGGTAGTTATTTGAGATACTAAAAATAAACCATAGGGGTATTCTCTGACTCTTGCAAAGCCTTTGCACGGTGCACGTATTGCACGGTTTCCAAAGCTGTTCCAAACGAAAACCGATTTTTAACGTGCAGAGAATAAATATGTGGGAATAAGATAATAGATTAACTAAATTATAAAATAAGGTCGAAGATAATGAAAATTAGAAATTCAAAAAAGGAGAAAAAGTTTAATGTTTGGAAAAAATGAAAATGGAACTCATTGGCTTTTCATTAGTCTTAGAAATCCTGAAAAGGAAAAAAGATCTGCATAATTACACACAAAAAAATTCAAAAAGTCGCAAAATAAAAGAAAAAAGCAAAATAAAAATTAAAATGTACGCAAAAAAATAAATACAAAATTTAAGTCGAAAAAGTTTAATGTTTGAAAAAAAAAAATAAAACTTTTCTCATTGGCTTTTCAACAGTTCTAGAATTCCCTAAAAGGAAAAAAGGTCTACAAAATTAAGCCGATTTTTATTTTTATTTTTTTAAAGCCAAAATAGTAGTGTTTGAAAGAAAATAAAATTAAAACTGCTCTATGGTTCAAGAGTTCTTGCAAAGGAAAAAAAAGTTCTGCAAATTACGCAAAAAAAAAACATTTTTTCCAAAAAGCCTAAAGGGTTTAAAAATAAAAATAAAATTTGTTTTGAGTAGCTTTGCGATTGTTCCTGAAAAGAAAAAAAAAATCCGCCAAATTTAGCCGAAAACCAAATAAAAAAACATATAATTTTTAAGTTTTTGGCAGCATCGTACATCCTTCTGAATGTATGTGCGCGCGAATGTATTTGATAATCTATGGATGCATGTATCTAGCTTGTGCTTAAGTGTCTTCTATTTTGTGCTCGTAGCAGATATATATGTACATATTTATAAATTGCAATATCAGAAATGAATGCGGGCGTCCAGTGAAATTCTAAAATAAAATATTTATGTAGAAATCAAATACATCTACGGTAAATCACACAGCAAAGGAAAGCCAAATACATTCTACATATTGCCAGCATAGATAAACATTTTACTCACTCCATGCCGAGGTCATAGAAAGGATATTGCAATATGGCAATGGGAATAGCTGCATGGCGTGAAGAAATAGTAAGAATCATTTGAGTTTACGTACATACTACATATGTACATATGCATGTATTTATATAACTACATATGTAAGTGAAATCTACTCAAGCACTCTTCTGCTTTTTCTACACACTCACTTATCGTATTATGTTGAAAAGTGTGAAAGGCATTGACATTTGATGGCGATGTGGCCCAACCGAGTGGCTCAGGTCGGTAGAAATTATCCAATTTTTCTTGCATTTCCCAACGCAGCACTCCAATCATGTTCTCCAGGTGTGTGCTCTCGTTCACCTGCACACCGGCATAGTGCTCGTCCAGTGCCGTTGCATTGCGCAACCATTCCGGAAAGCCAATAAAACTATTCATGGAAGCTGACTTTTGCAACGTTTCACGCTTGGTCTCCTCATCCATCCACGAGGTGCGACGCACTAACGTATCAAATGCATGCCGTATATCGCTCAGCATACGCTCCACTTTGGGCAACTTGTGACGTGTGAATTCGTCATCGGCCAGTACATAGCTAACGGCCATACCCAAAAGACTGTTTACGCCATGCGCACAATAGAGGGAGCGCGGTGAACTGCCCTCGGTGCCAACAATCACTCGCATATATTCGTAGTGTAGCAGACGCATGTCGCTGGTGGTGTGCAATATTAGCTCCTCGACAACACTTAGCCAAATATAGAGTTCGATTTGGGTTGGTGGGGCGTCTAATAAATATTCCGATATGCTTTGCAGGTATACGATGTCTGCGTGGCTGGTAATGATTGTTAACTCGGAGAGATTGAATCGTTGTGAGTGATTTGCCTCCTGCATCATCAGCAGCAAGTATTGCGTCCAGTTGAGTACGGTGTTGGGTGCTATTAGGCTGTCTGTTAGATTCTGCAGATCGTCGACAGATATGTAAACGATGTCCTCCATGGGATTCATCAAAGTTTTGGTAGTATTTTCTGCATTGTCTTTTAGCTAAAGGGAAAATATGTATGTGGCAACCATAATTTGATAACTATTTTTTGAGTTTTGTGGTGTTTTCGTTTCTTCCAAGAACTGCTGTTCTTTTTTTCGAAATATTTTTGGTGTTACATGCCATCCTGTAAATGTGCATGTTCTTTCAGATGGTTAATTGACATCTGATATTAAGAGCAATCATCTTCCCTCACAAAGTTTCAAAAAGTGTGTGTGACATTTTAAGAAAGAAATACAGAACCAGAGTCCCCTCTTTAAGGCAAAACTGTGCGTGTTTAAGCGAAAATGAACAATTTTCGACAACAAACATATGGCTCCGTTTCGCACAATCAGCTGACTGAGTTGGACATTAATTCAATTGAAAATGGTTGTGCAACAGAAAAAAAGAAAAGAAAAGAAATAAAATTTTACTTCTTTAACTTTGTTGTGGCATTTCATATTTTCATTTAGTTTTCGTAAAGAGCTGTTCCCATTTTACATTTAGCATTTTGCACTGACAATATTATTTAACACCGTTTACGCTTTTGTGCAAAGCAAAGTGCTAATTTTTGCTTTTGGCATTTTTGCATCAAAGAGTGAACCCTAGTAGAGTTTTTCACCGGTTTACCTTTATTTTAGAATCAGACACGAACAGAGAAAGCGGCAATCAAAAGGCGACATTCTTTGGTACAAACGAAAACACCAATATTTTTTGGTAACTATAATACCGCGCGATAGTAAGATTTACACACAAAAAGATTAATATACCACAAAACTAGAGGCGTTGTTAATTTTACTTTCTGACTTTGAATTTTCTAAGATACGATTAGTTCGAAAAATTATTTGAAAATTTCAGTACAATGTAGAATACATAATAATATTTGATACCCATATAAAAGACGAATAGGTATCGAAAATGTGATTTTAAAGCTTTATCCTTGTAAAAAATATCCTGACGTTAGAGAGAACAACTAAAAGCAGAACTTTGTGAGTAAATTTCGATTGCTTCGTGTGAAAATTTTTTGTTTTTTGTCGCACGGTGTAACCAAATCTTGCCTTGAGAGAAATAGATATATTTAGCTCAGTGTACTGTTTATGGTTCTTACTTACCCTATACATCTTCTTCGCGAATTTAACAACTTGCAAGGCCGCTTCCGCAATTGCTTCCTCACTGGATTCTACCTCCGCATCTGGATTTACATACAGTAAGTAGAGTTCAAGCATTTTCTTGATGTACTCCACATAAGCCAATAAACCAGAGGAAGTGTGTTTCTCCGCCTCTTCCATCTCGTCCTCCAATTCTTCGCCATCCTCATCATTCTCATCATGATTGGCTATCACTTTTCGTTTGATTTTGTTCAATAACTTGTGCATATCATCTTTGTTGCTGTGAAAAATTTTGAAATGTTATAAAAAAAATCAAATTTAACACACAACTTCCTTCCACTCACAATGGGAGCGCGGAATCAGTTTCAGGTGTGCCCAATGCGATGCGATTAACTGTACGATTTACCGGATCGGCAAAAATATCGAAACCCACCACCAAATCCATGCCTAAATTCTTTTTGATGAGCACCAAGCTACGCAACCAATTGAACTCACCATCTTCGCCATACTTTCGCTTCATCTCCGCCGATAGCGACACATTGAAATTGCTCGGCACTAGTGGCAGCTCAAATTTTCTCAGGTAGCCTATTAGTGGTTCGAGTTCACGTTTATCTAATAGCTCCGAGTTCAGGCAGGCTCGATACATTGTTTTCGCTTTCCCCACAGCGGCCGGCTCCTCATCGCTGATGTTCGCTTGCAGGAAGGTGCGTAGAGTGCGCATAATTTTCGCTTGTCGCTCACGAAACCAGTCATTTGATGTGGTCGAATCGGGTTTGGGATGATCGTCCGCCCAATGGCCACAGGTGAATTTGTAAAAGTCCTCACAGGGATCAGTCTCTTCGTCCATTGAGTAGATGAGCGCCGCCGCTGTGCGTAGGCACTCTTTGCTGCGACACACTTCCGTGTGCGTGCGACCTAAATGTGTCATAAAATAGACCAAAAAAAAACATGGAAATAATGAGTGCGGGCTAATGCAAATATGTACATATATACACAAAAGCGCACTTACGACTTAAACATACGATTATTAATGTAATGAGTAAAATGATTATCAATAGTATGAGCACACCAATCAAGGTCTTGTGGTAATATTTCCGTCGAAATCTAGAAATAAAAAAATAATTAAGACATCAGATTATACTTATTTTCTTGTGTTTGAACACAAAGCTCTCGAAGCGTTAACCCTTAATTAGGCGCATGGGGTCAAGGTGATTTCAAGTCGAAATAAAAAATGTCTTGGAGTGCTTGGAGCGTGCTCGCGCTCTGTCTACCTTCCTACCTCCCCGCGGGGTACGTAAATAAGTCACGGCTTGAACATCGGCGTGTACATATTTTTCGCTACTCGTTTTAAGCCCTGACCCCAAGCGACAACTTATGTAACATTTTTTTGACGGAGGTAAGATTTCATCTTTTTTTTCAAGTTTGAAGTCGAAATTGTGTTTTTTCTTTTTTCAAGTTAACGATAATATTGTACTTTAATAGTTTTCTTAATACACACTTCGTTTGTTTTTTTTTTTAAAACTCTTTTTTCAACACTTTTATTGGGGTCACTGTGGACCCCATGCGACTAATTGTGTGATTTTCTTTATGCGCCTAATTAAGGGTTAATATAGAAATGATTTCACCAAAACGATTAAAATGCAATCAGAGTTGTCAACCAATTCATGTATATATATATATACACACATACATAGCTTTTAAAAAAATATACGATTCAACCAACGACTTAAAGCCATATTGCTACTCACTTCGATTGAACGCCGACGAAGGTGGAATTATGGGGCGGACGTTTGCTTAGCGCGCTGTTAGACCCATGAACGCCAGGCAAATATGACGCGTTGTCTGGCGCTGAGTCGGTACTCTGTATGCTGAGATTGCCTGTAATTATAAAAAGGGTAATATTGAAATACATACATACATATGAACATACTTGCAGAAATTTAAAATTTGGATGCATATTCTGTACGTTCATTGAAAGGCTGCTTAAAGGGAAAACTACATAACTCAGATGCATATTTTGTTACATTTCAGTTTTCTACAAAATCGTTTTGGCTTCGAGTTGATAAGCCAAAAGGCTTTTCCAAGTGAAACTTCTTTAGCGGCGGTTATTAAATCTAAACACTTTGCTTATATTACCACAAAGGTGAACGTGAATATGTAGATGCAAAAAATCCTAGAGGGTGAGATGATTAAAATTCCGACTGTACTTATTTACTGTACTACCCTATTCCGGTATCCCTTATTTCGTTGTGCCCATTCCAACACTTCCAGCAGAGTGCTTCAAATACCTAATCACGTCCATAAGTATGCACTTGGGTACAAGTATTTATGTAAGTGGATTGGGGAATAATGCCTGATGAATTGCGATTCCGGTCCCGGTTAAGCGGCTTTTCAGGAGATGATGGACAGTGTGCTATCTTCACCACCTGCATGTATGTACATACATACATAATATGTATGGGTCTTACTTATATATTTTCTATTTATTTAAAAATTTATGTAATTTACATAACAAAAAAATTATTGAAAAACGCTTGTTTGTTGATATGTGTCCAGTTTTATCAAACATTTTTCCTTCGTTGTAAGAACTTATGCTGTGGAAGGCGTTTAATACATATGTATGTATGTATGTATGTATGTTTTTTCACTCTCCTGAAAAACTCTCCTGTTGAAAGAGATTACTTTGTCAAATGTCGACAGGTACAAAAAATTATTTACCGGAAATGTAAAAACCATGTAACTGCTTCCTAAACTAATTTTTCTGTGCACGCCAAAGCCCGTTAATGGTATTAAATATACCCTGTGAGGAAAATCTCTAGTTTTGAACTGGGGCGCGACAAATCTCTTTTGCTTGCAAACTACTGGCAAATTTAACACGACGATGTCATAAGAATTGGAAATAGACCCCGTTGCATTACCTTTTCTATAGTGTATTGCATCCCTTTTTCGATAGTTCCAAACTAGTTATAAATTCGATGGATGAAATCTAGTTCGTTCTGCGTCCCTTTTTCCATAGCTTCGAAACAGTTCTAAATTCATCATTTTAGATATATGTAGATTTCTAAAAATAAAATTGTTTTTTAAAAGTACCATATTTCGCAACTTTGGAACTGGTGGCGATCTAGTTACTATCGGACTGGTTAGTTTTAGGTGATAAAGATTTAGTACAGAACTATAAATTTGGTTCACCAGTTTGGGGTTTTCCTACAGGGTGTATGTATATGTATGGACGCATATTCATATAAGAATTCTTCAGTGTATAAGTACGTTAGAATGTGTAGACGTTTACATGCTCATAAATAGATTATATAGACTATACAGGTACGTAAATTTAGCACTATGCACATTAGAGCGTATCAGAAAAAGATTTCGCCGCCCACACCTTAGTCTAAAATATTTTTGCAAGGTAATCCCAAAAAAAAAATGTTTTTTGACCGAACGCACATAAGGACAAAGTGGCTAATTATTATGACTAAAACGGAAAAATAAATTTTAAATCTTATCACGCATACTTTTAAAATGTCCTTCATAAAGCAGTCCGCAACCGCAAAGTTGGCTTTTCTTTCTTGCGTCGAATTAAATTATATATTTTTTTTTTGAATTGGTGATAAATAATTTCGCTTGTCATTCTATTCTTTTCAGTTGTGTCAACATGGATAGTAAGGCGTCAGGTAGGTACTTAATTTGTTAAAGAAAGGATTGCGCATTTTCATTTCGACGCCTCCAAACCATACCGTGCTAAGTCAACGTAGACTTAGTCGGACTTAGCATAATGCGATTTGTTGGTGTCGATTTGCCTATTCACTACTCAATTATTTATCCATCGATTTTTTGCTTAAGTAGCTTGATTTTTTCGTAAAAGAACACGCTTTAATTCATCGCGATAGTCCGAAAATTTCACAAAAGAGCGAAGAAACTTCTTTTCTTGAAAACTTTTTAATGGTTTCTTAACTAAACTTACCAAATATGAGCTTCTACTATAGTTATTTACTATTAAATTTGTGAGGTAGGGAAGCATTGAGACAAGGTTACCAAAATACATTCTTTCCTATGCCAGCTTATATTTGTTTTTTGGGCATTTTTTTCGTGTTTTCTTTTCTTTTGCAGATTCAATGTTTTCTTTTATAAACTATTTTTATTCATAAAAAACTCCATTCTTTTAGGTATTTTCAAATCGGTCCAGCTCGCTTAAATCTTAATATTTGTCCGATGCAGTCTAATGTATATGCTTACATTGTCTCTAATAGACTGCTTGCATCTTGATAAAATGTTGTCGTTAAATAATTGCGATACGTCAGCCACTACTGTCACGATTTCACAAACACATTATTGATTTGCATATATAGCTACGTAAAGGTGAAAAGGTAGCAAGCCAACACTTTTCTAAATTTAGTTTTAGATAAAAAATGACAGATAAGCCGAAACTACATAGATTTTTTCGTCCCTCCTGAATAGTTTCAGAACATGGACTTGGCACCTTTTCACCTTTATAGTATGTTCCCACCAGAGCTTAACCACGTAGTTATGACTGTTGAGTTGGTTATCCCGAAAATCCATTTGATTTGGCCTGATTTCGCCATATAAAAATGACCGCACTTAACCATTTCACTGAGATGGTGGGCCATTGGCGTTAAAAGTGAAAAATGCGTTCCCTACCAGTGATCGGACTTTACTAGATTCACTCCGGTTTTTGCAAAAATTTGAAATCTACTCCTCTAAACTGCTTGACTTCAAATCTATGCATTCCGTTTTTTACTCATGTTCTGCCTTGGGCCCGTTTTTTGGGTGTTCACCCCCGGTTTCAGTAAAAAAAAAATTTAAAGTTAAGTAAACTATCACTGATGAAAGTAACTCGTCCATAAAAGTGAGTCAATACAGTAACTGCGTTATTTTTTGATATATGGATGCAGAAATTGGCGGTAGCAGAACTTTACATAAGTAGTTAAAAAATATATGTAGAAAGAAATTTATTAAAAATAGAAAAGGTTAAGGTCCTATTGCTTTTTAAAGAATGGTCTTTATTTTTGCATGAATATAAAATACAATTATTGTCAAAGAGAAAATAAAAAATTCAAATTTAGTCCGTAAAATTTGTTTTTGCTTCGATTTCAGAAGCGATTCAGTCCTGAATCGAGTTTCAGGAGTCCAAACACTGTTACTGTTGTCTATATTTGTACTGTTTTATAAACCTCAAACCGCAGTGTGGACAGCAATAGTTAGTGATGTGGTTAAGTTCGATTTGTGATGGTTAACTTTTTGGTGGGGACATGGTGTTAGGTAACGATATGTACATATGTACTTGTTCCCAGTGTATTTACACGACTGAAGCTTACAATTACCTATATATATATGTATGTAGTAGTACTGCGCTATGACATGGTTTACCTGTCATTAGAGAATTACCCTTGTGGTCAGCTGATTAAGTTATGTGACATTTTGACCATTTTTGGATATTTTTCTTTTGCTTATTTAATAAGAAATTTAGGATAAAATCAAAAGATGAAGAAAAGTGATTGAAGTTGGATATTTGAGCACGAATTTACAGAACGGCTGTAGCTGAGTGTGTAGAGATGCTTGTTGTTAATTGTACGCCTAAAGCTGCCATAAAAAAATCGCTATTTGATTTTACTCGAGCGCGTAAGATTTCCATACAGAAAGTTAAACTCGATGCCCTGGTCGCTCTGTTCCATAATCTGACTATTCTCTGGAGGCATTTTCTTAATCTGCCGGTCTATAAAACTTTTTTAGTTTTTGAGATGCACAGTCAGCCAATCATATGTACATATATTATTTTAAACACGAAGCATAAATTACTTTATTCTTCATTTTCATCTGTAGAACTATCATCATACAGCAAGTCCGTTCAACTTGGTCGTCAATTTCTTCTACATTGACAATATTTTTTTACATAAAATTTAATGAAAAGTGCTTTATTCTAGATAATTATAGTTATTATACATACTTTTCCTAGAATATCTGGTATTATGATTACATATTTATACCCTTCTGCTAACTGATCACCAACGGACCGGGTAATTTCCAATTTTCAATTTGAGGCTTTCCATCCGTATTTTTTTTTTTTTTTTTTTGTGACATATTGACGATGTTTGACTTTTATGTATTCTTCCACTAGCATGCAGTCTATCTCATACTAAATAAGTGCTGCAGTAACTCCGATTGGCGTGATGGCTGGCAGAAACGAGTATGAGGACGCACAGTGCTTTGATACCATCTAAAGTGTGGCCAATAAGGAAGCGGATTTCCAATATTTTTTCCTGTTGTAGTAAACGTAAGGTCTCTGAGCTCAAAAGTATCTGAAAAATTCATGTTTTTCCTACATACAACAGTGGCGGATTTTTGAAAAAGGCAGCAGTCTCTTCGAAGGTCCAGGTTTGTTATATATATATATATACATATCATAAACCAACAATGATTTTCGGTATGTCAAACCACTTTTATTGAATACAGAAAAGTTTTACTATGCACCTGTGAATCAGCGTCTTGCTTTTTGTTCAGCAAATATTTCCATTGCGAAATCCAAACTCATTGAGTTTGCCACTAATCTCTTAATATAAAGGCCCTGTAGGCGGTATCTTTTCTCTGCAGCTTCTTAACGCTCCTCATCGTACCAATTTTTCTTTCGGGCTTGCTGAAATCCGACTATGTACTTCTTTGGCGGCGGTACTTACACAGCAAAAAACACGATTAATACAAAAAACGAATGTGGAAGCGAGCTAGGCGATGGGAATCGCTTACCCTCTCCCTTCAAGAAGGCACTATTTTCACTTGGGCATGCCATTGGTCGTAAGCCCTTACCCGCAGCATTTTTTGATAAGAAAAATAGGAAAATACCAAATAAATGATAAATCCTACCTTCACTTGAATATTCCACGACAATAAACTAATTGATTACAGTTGAAAAAGAAATACTTGATTTAATGGGTTCAGCGCCAAAGACAATTAAAGTGATTAGCCGGTATCGCGGCGATGCCACTTTTTTGTTGGAAATGTACCGTTCGAGCAGAGAGGGAATGAGTAAATGATCTGAAATTTTGTATTTATGACCTCTACTTATGCTTGAATGGTCTGGAATCAAAATAATGAGATTTTTTGAGGTTTTTAATATCTCTGAGAGATATTTCGGGCCCTATTGCCAGGGCGTTTTAGAAGATGGCGAAGTCAAATTATCTCAAAATTTCCTTCCTAAGACCAAGTTTAAGTAACTCAGGGAGCTACCGGACATCAGCTCACTACTGAACTTCTTTTACATATGTGTTTTTATAAATTTTTACATTGATATCTCTATAAAATGATAAAGGAACTTTTTCGAACTTAATCCAAACGAAAATTTTAATATCATTTTAAACTGAAATTTTTAAACTGAGAAAATTTTGTTTTAGTAAATATCGCTTTCAGCAACTGTAAAAATATTGTATACAAAATTGCTTCAATATTATTACTCACCTCGGTGGATTTAAATTTTAATATGTGTATTCTTTTAAGTTCAATGCTCTTTGCTAATGACTAGCGTGTTTAACATTCATATTTGTTTAGATATATGTATACATACACACACGCATATGAAACTGTAACAATGAATAACTTTGTGTTAACTACTGACGTCAGATTAAGTTAATAAAATTGTGCAAAAGCTGCATATGTACATAGATACATATGTACATATTTGGATTGTGTTTCAGAAAAAATTCTAAATATACAGTTTATAATAACATTTATTACCTAACTATGTTCGTACATGCAAATATTTTCATGTAGCTAGTGTAATGTCCCTTAGTTTAGTTTAGACCCAACTTATTTAGAATTAGTGCAAGGAAAATGTTTAATTTTGATTTTCTATCGTTGCCACATCATAATCACATTTTCTAAAAATCGCTATACGTACTCTCAAATTACTGACTGATAGCTTCAAAAACCACCAGAGTTAAACGAAGACGAATTAAATTCCTTTGACGATTAAAGAATTTTTTCTATTATAAAATATTATTTTACGTTTTAGTGACTACGAACTGCAAAATATATATTTTTTGGCACTGCTATATTAGCAAGCACAATCTTCGCAACCAAAAAATTGTGTATTTAATTTAGTTGGAGATTAGTTGGCAACTATTTTCGGCATATTATTATAACTACGATGAGTATACTCACGCTGCCAGCTAAGAGGATGTGTTGGGCTAAACTTTAATTGCAATCACTGCAAAGTTAGGCTTTTTTAAGAAATTACACACACTGGAGGATGGTATGTTTCAAATTTTGGTTGGAGAAGATAATCGCTCTCAAAGGTGTATTATTATGCGATTCGTGATACGCAGTATATGCTCTAGGATGGCCTCTAAGAGCCCATAAGACCTGCAGTCCGTCTCTAAAGAAATCCCCATTTTATTCAAATGGCACCTCAATTTGCATGTCCTGCCAGGAAGCCTATAAAAGTTCTAAGACCCTGCCGGCTAAGTTCAAGGAGTCTCGCATCTTTAAGATGTGCCGCAGAAGGCTTCGGACCATGCAAATGCAAGGCTCCCCGTTTTTCGAGACAGTCAGCGCTGTCGTTGCCCTCAAACCCTCCTTGTGCCGGGACCAACCACAGGGTCACTTTATTGTGGGCTCATAGAGAGAGTGGTTCAAAAGAGTTTACATCTGTTCACAAGCCTTGATGTCATTCTAAGTGAGTCTAAATGGTTACATATGAGAATATTGGCAAACTTTTCTGGGGTCAAGTATGCCTGCCGCCTAATAATTGTCTAAATTTGAGTCCACCCATGGCAGCCCTCTAACCTAATCTAACGCCTGCCGAATAACTCTTGCCTACAAGCACTACTTTTTACTGAGTAGGCAATTCAGGAGTAAATTCCTCTCTCCTTATCTACAAGAGATGTTAAAAAAATAGTTGTGTAATTTTAAACATTAATGTGTTGCCTACCATTATCGATGTAAATTTGCTACAAAAGGTAAAGAGTTTAGATTAAAGAATGCCATTTTTAACCTTAATGTGCTCGTAGTCTACAAATAGCATTTTCGCCGAAAATTTGTATACCCGAGCGCCATTGTGCACAAGGGTATTATAACTTTCTTCAAATAACGGTTTTGTAACAGGCAAAACTAATCGAGATAAATATGGACAAATGTATACATAAATGCTCAGAATGAATAGAGAAGTCGATTAAGCGGTGACTGTATGTCCGTCCGTCTGTGCACATGATAACTCGAGTAAAAATTGAGATATAATAACGAAACTTGGACGCGTAGGACGGACGGTATTGAAAATGGGCAAAATCGGACAATAACCACGCTTACCCCCCATATAACCGTAGTTTACAGAAATAAATACGAAAACTGCGATATTTTAGTAACTACTGAAGATTATTCAATCAAAATTGATATTTACAATAAATTTTAGACGCAAAATAAGAATGTTATAAACTTTTGGAAAATGGGCGTATCCACGCCCACTTACATATATGTATCTCGGTAACCGTTCTACCAATTTGCACCAAACTCGGTATGGTTAGTGTGCTTGCCACATACAGGGTGTCCCAGAACTAACGTGCCAAACTTTAGGGGAAGGTAGGTGGGGGAGTGAGCTCCCTCATAAACAAAAAATTTTCAGGTAAAAGTGTTACCGTTTTTGAAATATTTACATTTTTTCGAATTTAAAAAAAAAATCGTGCCTTTTCATGTGTTTTCTTTAACTGCAACTACAAACCGGGCAATACTTAGTAAATTTTTTATGTAAAATACTTCCAGATAGTTGCCTCTCCATACTCAAATACAATGTAGTTAAAATATATTAAGGAACCATCATAAAATTAGGACTATTTCCGGATTTTTAACTTTTTGATATTTTCTTCCCCAAATTTGACTATCTCG